TGAGTTAAAAGTTTGCATAATTTTGGCAGAGTTTTGGAGAAAGGGCCTGTTGTTTTGGCAGCTTGGGGAAAGGTAAGCTCGAGTGCTCTACACTCCTCGATTTATAGTCGTGATTAATTCTGAGGTATGTGTCCACGGCTTAATCATAGTTGCTTGTTTAATTAATGGGCATTTGACTATGGTTTTAAGTAACAGTCGTGTTTTTTTTCTAATCTACCGCAACTTTCCAATGATAATTGCCTCGCTACAAGAATCGATCCTTGTTTACTTTCATTGGTATCAACTTTGTATAAAACTTTCTCAGTTAAATTTAGTCTTCAAACTGTTTTTAATGATCCAACATAGCAAGACGTTTAGGGCTTCTGTTATGAGTAGGAATTGCTTTAGATTGCTACACCATAATTTTGTACAATTACCAAATAAACTTTGTAATTTTTAACGAGCAATATTCATTCCCATGGGATTTTTTTAACAAAAATACCGGTGCAACATTTTTGCATATTGGTTGAAAATTTTGGCTTTCAAATTGTATGAGGTTATTTGATTACTTCGAGTCACAAACCTCCGATTTGGACTAAATTATTTGAGAACGTGAAAATAGCATGTTTATTGATTTTACTGAATTTAGGTTATTTGTTTTGGCTTAAAAATATCCTTTTGTTTTCTTATAGAAACTCTGCATAAAACCTGACAGATATAGTAGCTAAAAATAAACTGCTTGAATTACATTTCTGCAAGTTTTGAAGGGGATACTCCCTTTATTACATATCACAAATTTGTCAACATTAGAAATAATGTTCACATTTTTTTACTTATAAGTATAAGGTATTATTTCTGTTTCTTGCAATCAGTCTAACTGTTGAGGTGGACAAAATGTTTTATACTATCAGGCAATTGACATTTTCTATGCATAATTATTCCTTGACTTATTTAAATAGCCTTTTATTGTTTTCATTGAAATATAAGGCCTTTCAATGAATTTATTTCTATTTTCAGTAAATTTCAGTAATACAAGTATAAAAATTATTTTTGTAAGATGAAACAACCAAGACATATTTCTTTTACATGTGTTCCATGTTGACTATATATGGTAAAATCATTGTCTATTTTGTTAAAAAGTCAAGTGTATTAAAGTCACAACAAGCGTAGATTTGGAATATCGTATGACTTCTTTTATCAGATTATGTTTGACATATGTTAAGTCACGCCCTGTACCTAAGCCATAGTTCCACCTATGAATAAATGCCGCTTCTGTTTAATATGATCAATTTAACGTATGTTAGCTTTAATCACAATAATTTATTTATCATCTCCATTGGTATATAAGCATTTGAGATTATTATTGTACTTTCATGGTTGTCTAGTTAGAATAATAATCAGAGATCCTGCTTATTGAATCTCTCATGAAAATAAAGATCCTAAACTAAAAAAGTATGATTGTTTTAATTTCAATATAGCAAAATATTATCAGGTCTAATAATGATTAATATAATTTAATGATAGTATCACATTAAGTAAGTTGTTGTCTAATAGATAAGATATTTGAAGTATTTTGGTGTTTATGCTTGGTTAATTTTCTCACAGAAGACTGACTTACATAATATTTTATAATTTAGATGAGGTGATTCTATGTCTACAGGTTTCCTATTGTCCTATAATATCAACATGATTTACATTTTCATATTTACATCCCTCCATTTAGGTGTGACCACCAAATAATGTCATATGTGGTGAAAAAATAAACTCATTCTATATTTGCACAATTTTGTATATTTTGTACAAGGTATTGTAGATTTAGCCTGAAGCTTCACAGCATCAATGACTTTTTCATAATAAGTGAACCAAATCAGAATTTCAAATGTATAAACACTGAGATCTAGACAATTTGAATAAATTTAAACATGACAGTATTTCCTGTCCAAGAAACGTAATTTAATTACAGTTAATGGTTGGCAATTTGGCCATCGTATCTTGTCATAGAATTCAGAACTCCTTATTAGATTGTACAGGTGCTATCATTAAATGTAGTTTTGCTTTGAATCAGTTTTAGATTTAGACAAACACTGAAACTAAAAATACCTCAAGCAAGTATGAAAAATTAAATAATTTATTCCATGATATTAGAGACAATTATTTTTTAGTAGTTTCACTGGAAATTGACTAGGAATAATTAACTATACCTTTCTTTTGACAAGTAGAATATTTACTTATGGTATTTTACATTTGTCATGTTTTTCATTTGTCATTGACGTGTAAATTTGCCATCTGCATACTGTATAGTCATTGATATTGAAATGTATACTGAAAAAGGTTGGGTTTGGTCTGATATCTACACAACTATGAGCTCCGTTCATACTGGTATATTACAACCCAATTCAGATTCACAAACTAGTCTTAATGCGTAGATATTCACTGGATTAATTCAATATAGTGTATCTAAGGGCGGGTAAGTGAATATTATTATTCTAGTCTTACACTATCTTGATGATGGTTGACCTTTTATAAGTCTACAGACATAATATATACCATTTCATCCATACATTTTACATATAGATGCTGTTATCTAGGATGTACATCATCACTCATCATCCCAGTTTAGACAAACATTTACTGCCATTTAGACTAGCATAATTAGCACAAAATATCTCACAGTAGCAGTCTTTAATATCTGTATATTTAAAAAAAATTTAGTTAATGGAAAATCTTGAAATCATACACAATTGTATTAATTTGCGTTATTAAAAAAGAGAGTACTTATCAATTTTTTTTTTGATTTTTGAATGTCAGCCATGAGTTCCACCCAAGAAGTGCCTATGGGGGGTGGTAGGAGTATTCTTGATGACATGGTGGGTGTCGGCGATATGGTACTGTTAGATCCTCTTACAGAAGATGCTGTTATGGAGAACTTGTGGGAAAGATATAATTCTAAGGATATCTATGTAAGTAAAATCCTTTTGATTGCCTTTTTTCACTGATTGGTCCAAGTGTGTCAGTCCATCCATCCATCCTTGCATTTCGTCATTTACCATTGAATATATGGTTTATACATCTAGGATTATTATCTTGTTTCTATAGACGTACATAGGAAATGTGGTGGTCTCTATTAATCCATATAGAAAGTTCCCTCTGTACACACGTGAAGTCATTGCAGAATATAGATCAAGAAACATCTATGAACTTCCTCCACACATGTAAGTGCTAAAAACACARTTTATAATACAGGTTACAACAGTTATCGCCTCTGTGTATCAATGTTATGTTTAGTTGTGCCAAGCCCTTGCTTATCATCATGGCTATTGGAGGGRGAYRTAGTRGRGRCATTGAAATCYACAAATCCACCAAGAAAAATTATAAATCATTATAAATTTAAATCTATTAATATGTCATTTAAGTATCTATAAATCTGTCATCTGCACTATTATAAACAAATTGCCAAATTTTCACAACAGGAAACCCACATGTCCCCTCTGTATCAGTTTTCCAATCCACATTTTGATAATATTCTTAGACAACCACCTTAACTCTGCAGTTTATGATTGATACTTATAGTTCTGTTTGATATAGATATGCCATAGCTGATGATTCCTATCGATCTATGAGAGATAATGATCAAGACCAGTGTATCCTGATTACAGGAGAAAGTGGATCTGGAAAAACAGGTATGGTTATGTTATTTTCAATACAGTTTATTTTCAGTTATCATTTAATCTATGTTTTTCTGTGTTTTGAGTAGAAGCATCCAAGATCATCATGCAATATGTAGCAGCTGTCTGTGGTAAAGGAATAGAAGTAGATAAAGTCAAGGAGCAATTATTGCAATCAAATCCTGTATTAGAGGGTAAGTGTTTTAATCCAAGTCTTGCACATGGTTGCATTGTACAATATAATTGATGYTGGAACTAACMGTWCATTTTCYCTTTTCYCMCCAGCTTTTGGAAATGCCAAAACACTACGMAATGACAATTCATCGCGTTTTGTATGTAGAAATTCATTTATTTTAATCAATTACTATCCCTTTTCTAGTCTGGTATGATTTATCAAAGATACTTTTTATTAATTTGTTGTTGATCTTAAAGGGGAAATACATGGACATAGAATTTGATTTCAAAGGTGACCCGGCAGGTGGCGTTATAACAAAATGTAAGTTTTCCACCAAAGAGAATGTTATGAACGACTCCATCACTCTCTGTACTTTCAAACGCATTGGCAAATAATACTTTTGACATTCTTTGAGTTTGTTAAGTCCATTATATTCAATGAATTGGACACATGAAAGATTTGTTGTTTGAAACTATAGTCATCAGGTCGCAGCAGATTATTGAGATGAAGAAAATTTTCAGAAGTCTTAATGATATTATTATTCAGTCATTATGTTGCTGAGATGTGAAAAATCTGTTTCAATATGCTGCACATTTTTGCTTATACCATATGCATTTTGTATAATTACACTAACTTTCAAATTACTGAATTTAAATTTCCTTTTTTTAACAGACTTACTTGAAAAGGTAATTATTATATAATTTATAGACTTCTAAAACTGTATCAGTTTAACTCATTCTTTAATTATGTATTTTCAAATTGCATTTTTCAGTCTCGTGTAGTTTACCAGTCCAAAGGAGAAAGAAATTTTCACATATTTTATCACTTGCTTTCTGGTGGATCAGATGAACTACTGAGTATGTGAATTATAAG